AAACAAGGAGAAAACTCGTTCATATATTAGAATTTATTTTAAAAAAAGTGGTAGTTTGCTAGCAAAAAATTCTAATTTTATAAAATATAAAAGCTTCGCAGATAATTTATTAAAATACAAAATTTTTAAAATATTAAAATAAATAATTTTTAAAATAATAAAATAATCTAAAGGACTTTATTTTTTTAATAATAAATTAAATATTAATATATATTTATTATATATTAAATTTACGTTAAGTCTCTGAAATATAATTTATATTATATTTACGAATTAAAAATATTTACAGGTTTTTTTTTCGTATTAAGTAAACTTTTTAATTGGCCTTAAATATTTGACCAATTGCAATAAAACAATAACCTAACTGTGAAATAGTAGAAAAAGCAATTATTCTTTTAATATCGTTTTGCAATAATCCACTTGTTGCTGCAAAAATTGCAGTAAGGCTTCCTGCTATAGTTATAATAAATAATATTGTTGGACTAAATTCTAATAAAGGACTTGATCTAATTAATAAATATAGACCAGCAGTAACCAATGTGGCAGCATGAAGTAATGATGAAACTGGTGTTGGCGCTTCCATAGAACCAGGCAATCAAGAGTGAAACCCAATAACTGAAGATTTAGCACCCGCACCTAGAAATAATAATAAACAAATAATAGAAATTAAATCAGGATTAATACTTTGCGCTAAACTAAAAATAATATCATAATCTAAAGTTCCAAAAACACTTATTATTGCAAAAAAACCTACAGTCAATAATCAATCACCTACTCTATTTTGATTAAAGGCTAAAATAGCAGCTTTATTAGAAGCTATTCTCGTATAATAGTAATTAATTAATAAATATGAAGACACTCCAATACCCTCTCACAATTGTATTTATTTTGTTAAGTTAAAAGTTTATAATTAATTTAATATTATAAAGAAAAGTTTAATTTAAAATAATACAGTAATAATATTAATAATTTTTTGAAATAACAAAATAAATAATTGAACTTTATATTTAATATAAAAAAAATTCTATATTATATAGAAAAAGTCTCTGAAATTAATTTTATTAATTAATTTGCTGATTATATTATTAGTTTAAAATTTAAAAATATATTTCAGCATATTCTAATATTTTATTTAAGCCAAGTTTAATTTTTTTAACCTAAAAATAGTACCAGGTAATTTCCCCCGGCTACCAAAACAAGCATGAAAAAAGTGAAGAGTGATAGGAACGAGAAAAATCTTTGTTGATGTGGTTCTCCTGCCATATAATAAATTGAATAAATATGTACTGCTAATGATACATTTGAAATTATTAATAACATTGTAACGGACAATTCATCAAAAGAAAATAATCAATTAATAGTTAAAATGTCCGAATTAATTCATGATCCTAAATTAATAGAAACAGGAGAACTACAAATAGCAACTTCATAGAAAGCTAATAAAGCTAAAATAGAAGCTATTGCTAAGCTAAAAATAGTAGCAAATTGAGCACCATTTGCTCCTATTTTTCTACCAAATAAACCAGCAATTGTGGAACCCATTAAGGGAAAAAATAAAATTAAAATATACATTGTGTGATTTAAAATTTAATAGAGTATGTTTTAATTAAAAGTTAAAAGTTAAAAGTTTAAAATTTTAAAAATTAATTTTTATTAATACCATCCTCTTTTGTAAGAGCAATAGCTCCAGTTAGTCGATAAAATATTACTAAGATTGATAACCCTATAGCGGACTCAGCACCTGCTAAAGCAATTATAAAAAGTGCAATTACTTGACCAAAATTATCATCATAATTAATAGAGCTTACTAAAAAAATAAGTGTAATAGCTAATAACATAATTTCAATTGAGATTAACAATAAAATTACATTTTTTCTATTCAAAATAAATCCTATTAAACCAATTATAAAAAGAAAAAGTGAAAAAGTCATTTTTAATAATAATTTTCCTTTAGGAACCTTGGAACATAAAAATTTGTATAAATTTAAAAAAAGCAATAAATTTATAGAGTGGTGATAGTTAAAAATAAAAGTTATGCATTCTTAAAAAAAACCTGAAGCTTAATAAAAACTGTTTTTGCTAACCGTTGGCTCCTAGAATAGCAAGCAAGGCGAAGAGCTTATAAATTTATTGCGTAGCAATAAATTTTTTTGTTGCTTACCGTAATAAGCAAGTAGTGGTAAATTTAAAGGTTTGTTTTTAAGATAAATATAGTATAATTATGAAATATTAATTATGAAATATTAATTTAAACTTATTTTTTTAAAATTTAATTTTAAAAAAATGCGGAAAGAAAAGGAATCGAACCTTTACAGAATTATCCGAACTATTAGCAATAGTTTTATCTTACCAATGATTATCTTTCCTTTTCAAGCTACTTAATGGTAATAATACTTATTATAGGGTTTTTCTTTAACCTTTATTACCTTTTTCTTATTAATAATTAATTCCTTTTGTATTTACAGCTTCTTGGCTTCTTGGCTTCTTGGCTTCTTGCGAAGCCAAGCGTAATTAAAACTTAAAAAATTATAAAACAAAACTTTTACTTTTTAATTATAATGTATAAGTAATAATTATTTTATTATTCTTTTATTAATTGTAGAATACAATTTTTTTAAAGCTTTTTCTTTACTTTTAAAACTAATAAAAAACAATAAAATTGGTTAAAATTTAATTTATTTTTATACAATGATTTAATTATTAATTTAATCGTACTTTGATTAGTAAATAATAAATGGCTTTTATTAATTTCTTTTTTTTGGGTAATAATTAATTTTTTTTTTAACTATAGTTTTGCCAATTTTATTTTAATTATTAATAATAAATAAAAAAATATAAATAAAAAAAAAAGACCCAAGAACTGATTGATTTGAACAATCCCAAATGATTTTGAAGATCACTGTACTACCACTAATACGAAGTTCTTTGATAGAAAGAAAAAATAAAATTTAAATGAAGTAAATGGTTTAAACTTTTTGGTTTTAAATTATTTTTAACCTCTTTTATAATTTAAATACATTATAATTTTTAAGGCTAGACTAATATGGGATTTAAATAATTTAAAAATTGGTGTGGGTGATTTACTTTAATGTGATTAAACTAAATCTTCTCCCGATTATAAAAATACTATTATAATAATGGTAAACTATATTTATAGGATTTTATAATAATTATTATTAATTATATTATTTTATAAATATAATAATTACAAATAAAGTTTAATAATTAAAAATAAAAATATACCATACCAACAGGCCCTAATTATTAGTACGAATAATTTATTAACTACAATAAGGAAGCAAGCTTTTAACTTTTTTAAATAATTATAATAATAATTTAATTTAAAAATATAAGTTTTAAAAATTTTGGGTTATTCATAATTATTAATTTTTTATTTAATCGCCATAATTTTATTGTACCTTTCTTGAGTTAAATGTTCATTGTAATCACTAAAGAAATAACTTCTCGCTCCGCGCTAAAATGTAAATCATCTATATATTTTTCTGGCTCGCTACCGTAGGTTCCTTGGCTTCTTGGCTTCTTGGCTTCTTGCGAAGCCAAAAAGCAAGGGGAGCCCCAATTAAATAATATTTATTTAAAAAAGGCTGGCGCAGGCGTTATTGTTTTACTTATAGTTTTAAAACTTAAAATTGATAATTGAACCATTTTTATAGGAGAATAAGTGTAAACAAAGGCAGGTTCTCGTAAACCGAGTAAAATTTTACTCGTTTCTTTAACAACCAGAGTATTTCTAATATGGACCATTACAAAAACCCTAAAATAATTCTTTTTTCTATTTTATGAGATTTATATAAAACAGATTTGACATTAATTGAACCATCTCCGCTTACAAAACTAGAATTCAATTATTATTGGTAATACTTTTAAATACAAATAAAAGTCTTTCAACGGGAACAACAAACGGGAAAGCGGTTTTAAATTGATTTAATAATCCTAAATTTAAAGCACCTTTGATAGCAACTAGTTCTTCAATTACTATTATAATTAAATTGGTTTTAAATAAGGGTTATATTATAAGCATCTAATCATAATTTAAAATTGGAAGACTTATTAAACAATAAATGGTAAATATTAAAATGATTTACAATAATTTGCAGATCATTTATTGCACTAATAATTAATTTTATTTTATTTTATTTTATTTTATTTTATTTTATTTTATTTTATTTTATTTTTATAAAAACTAATTTGGCCTACACCATCAAATTTTTTAATTTCATTTAATAAATTAAAATCTCTAATATTAAGCATTATAAAAATCTTAGTTGAGGCTATCAACCTGTTTTTGTTTTATTGGTTTTAACTATTTTCAAGTTAAATGAAAACTCAGCATCCGCAAATCCAGTTACAGCCTAAGGATTAAAATAAGATTACGTTGATGTTGTATTAGATGCGCTTCATACTAGTAATAAGGTAGTTAAGGCATGTGGTTTATTTATATTTTTTGGTCTTTTTATTATATTCATTTTGTTTATAAATACAACATAACAATTTATATATTTTTTTTTTTCAATGGGGGTGCAGTTGCTTTCTTACCCTATCAAGGTGGTTATTAATTAACCGTTGCCGGAGGTTATAATTTGTATTTGTGAGAGGATAATAAGCCGTACAAAAAGGAGAAATCAACATTTATTTATTAATCATTTCGTACTTTTTTACTTTTGAAGGAGAATAATGAAAGTTTAGCACGATAGCAGCTTATATTTATTTATAAGATTACAGAGGATTTTAACATTTTTATGATGCTAGCTTTTTAATTTTTAATAATTGTTGTACAATAATAATACTTAATATATTGTTTTATAAAAAATAATTAGAGTAATGAGAATAATAAGAATTTTAATTACTTTTTTATTAATAAAAAGCTGTTGGTAACTTGCTTCGTAAGTTTTGCATCTCATTTTTAACAAAAAAACAAGAACCAACGTGTAAACTATTAAATTAATTAAAAATTGGCTTTTTGTTTAAATTAATATTAACGAGCCTTATCGGAATTGAACCGACATAATCTTTCGTGACAAGAAAGCACTTTACCATTAAGCTAAAGGCCCCTTTAAAATAAAAAATTAATTTACCAAATAATTAAAAAGTATTTACAATAAATTAATTGCAAATTTAATTAAAATAAATTTATTCCGTTTAGAATTCAAATTAATTATAATAGGTAAAATCAACGTAAAATAAATTAATTATTTTTAATTAATTATTATTATATTAATTAAAAATAATTAATAAACTTAAATAAACTTAAATAAAATAAAAATTATTATTTTTAAAAGCAAAAACAAGAATTGGTAGATTTGAACTACCCTTTCTAATTTTGGAAATTAGCGTACTAACCAGCTATACTAAATTCTTTTTTTTTACAAAACACTAATTTTTTTTATTATTCATTACCGCTAGTTGCAGTAAAAAGCAACCAAGCGCTGCCAACTACAGTTGATTAGCATAGCAAAAAACAGCCAGTATGGGCGGAGTTGTTGCGTAGCTGAAAGAGTGGTAAAAATAATATAAAAATA